TTAAACAATTGTTGTTGTTGCTAAGTGCTGTCAAGTAGGTTCTGACTCATAGTGACCCTATATAGGGCTTCCAAGGCTTTAAAATCTTCACAAGAGCAGAAAGCCTCATCCTTCTCCCATGGAATGACTGGTAAGCTTGAATCACAAACCTTGCGATTTACAGTTTAGTGCTTATCATATGGAGCGATTACTAGGTGATGTATACTCTGCCAAATGCTTTATGTGCATGAGCTCATTTAAGAACATTAGGTGGGATATATTTTTAATCCCATTTTATAATTAAGATTTGGAGAGCTTTAGCAAGTTGCCTGAAGTCACACAGCTAGTGAGGGACACAGGTGGGATTTGAACCCATCGGTTTCCATCACCAGTACACCCACTCTGCCAGTATTCCTGTTCCAGAGAAGAAAGTCACAAGGACTGTGCCCTTTCACAAGTTGAACAATCAGGCTCTTTATGATCGCTTGCCAGATTTTTCTGCAGTTGGGAAATTATGGCAAGTGATGAGGGTTTAGTGTCTTTGCTTTTGTAGGTGGTGGTGTGACAGAGGAAGGGGTGTGTTAGTAACTGGTATAGTATTCATTTCAGGAACTATAGACCCGTATTTGATTCTGTAGGAGCAAGTATGGACCATGAGGAGCTCTGTAGAAGGTGGCCTGAGAAAAGAGAGCAAAGAGATTGTTCCAAGTCTGAATGTAAAGACATTTGTACTTTAGAAAGAATAATAAAAAGAGGATCTGAAAGCCTCAATCTCATCAGCAAGGTCAGGTATTAAGACACCAGAGTGGAAAATGAACAAGTTACCTGCAGGGGGGAAACTCAGCCCCACATCTACCTGCTCTAGCAGTGTATCACAACCTCCTGGGAGTGGCCTAAGCATCAGGCCCAAATATGTCTCTCTTGCAATGGCCTAGGGCTGGGAGATGGCCAGGTCCACTTCTACTTTTAGAGCACCTGGTAATATTAAAAGTATAAACAGATGCAAAACAGGATATTAAAATGATCTTATATTTAAATGCTTACATTAATAAAATAGCAGTATGATTTATAAACTAATCATAAATCAGATTTGTAAATTTAAATGTAATCCAGCCAAAATATCCCTGGGTTGCAGAAACTCAATTGAAGAGAGTGCATCTTCAATAGTTTTTGAAGTCCATTGTAAGCTATCTAAATGTGTGACTTGAGCCAGATGGCCCTCTTGGCTCCCCTGTGATGGTCACAGCCATTGAGAAGGGAAGTTCTGACATTTCCAGGTGAGACTCTCTCAAGTCAACTTGCAACCCTTCCTCCTTCTGCCTTTCCTATAAAATAAACCTTTCAGCTCACATCAGCAGATTCCAAAAGCAAAAAATAAATAAATAAAACTTCTCCTTTGATCTCAAAAAAAACAAGGCTAAGGAAACAAACAAACATTTTGAGAAACTGTAATGCCTAGCCCTTGATGTGTATAGTATTTCATGGTTCTTACAACCACCCCATGATAGTGGATAGTGTAAACATTCTGTATATCTGTTCAATTATTTGTCCAAGATCACACAGAAGATCCAGAATTAGAAAGAAGTCAAAGCCTTTGACTACAAAGCCCGAGCTCTTTCCATGTCTTGGCGTGAGATCACATCATGAACTGCACATAAACCTGGAGAAATCCAGTGAAGCTGGAGGGGAGGTCAAGGACAACTATACCACTCCATGCCCACATTGGGTTGGGCAAACTTTGGTCTTCTGGATCTTTTCACCATTTTCGGTGTCTTCTCCTGCCTGGCTTGCCCTCGCTTTGCTCCCTGTTTATGATACTTATTTTTCCATTCACAGCAAAACAATTCACATCAAGGTAATTGATGATGAGGCGTATGAGAAAAACAAGAATTACTTCATTGAGATGATGGGCCCCCGCATGGTGGATATGAGTTTTCAGAAAGGTGTAGTACCCTGTTCTCCACACTAACATAAACCTTCTTCTTTCCTCTTTTCTTTATTTCTTTGATCTGTTTGTCTCCAACTCTTCCTTTTTTCTCCCACCATTCTGGTTTCTTTGCCCTTGTGTTCACTCTTCTTCTCTCTTGTTCTTTTTTCTCTCTTTTCATCTCTCTGTTTCCTCTCTTTGCTCCCTAACCTATCCTAACACCCACCAACCTGTCACATGGTACTGATAAGGGGGATGCTTAAGAGCTAATGATACATTTTATGAGATGAAGAAATGGGGTATATACAGAGAAATAAAAAAAGAGAGACACAGAGGCTAGTCAGAACCCAGAGAGTATCAAATAAGAAGGTCTTTGCTTCTCCTTATTGGCAAAGCATTCAGAAAATCAGGAGGGCAATACAGGGAAACTAACTCCAGCTCTCACCATAGATTTCTAGGGACAGTTACTTTTAGGGATAAGTTTATTTTTCCTAGATGTTACGAACCTATGAATTTGAATTTTCATTCTATTTGTAGTTCATCCAACTCCCCAAAATAGGTCTTAGAGGTAATCTCATCTACCACATTCTTACTAGTGGTAGTATACCATGGAGTCAGCTCTGACTCATAGGGATCCTGCATAGGGCTTCTGAGACTGTAAACCTTTACAAGAGCAGAAAGCCTCATCTTTCTCCCATAAAACAGCTGGTAGTTTTGAACTGCTGACTTTGAGATTAGCAGCCCAACTCATAATCACTACACTACCAGAGTTCCTAACTAGTAAGACATAATTCTCCACTGAACATTGATTGAATTAAAAGTACAGGGTTGGTAAAAGATAGACCTGCCTTGTCCCCAACTTTTTCCACTAAGAACATTTAGGTGTGGAGGCAAAGACTAGTGAGAAAGAGAAATTGGACCTGGGTAGAAGCTTCCTTAGGAAGTCCATGGGACTTCTCAAAGTAGATGCAGTTTCTGTCTTCAGCTAGATGGCAAGTCATAGAACTCTCCAGAACAGTTAATGCTATGGAAGGGGCAGTATTCCTTCCCTGGTCAACTCATCAGTCAAGCACCTTCAGGCTATTGCCATGGTCATAGGTGCCCCATTCTCATTCCATTGTTCTTTTAGCAGGAAAATAGGCTGAATTTACATCTCTGTATGGTCCCAAAGGAGTCCTAGTGTGGCACTGTAGTATAGGCACTGGACCACAAAGTCTATTTGAACACAAATTAGTGGTTCAAATCCACCAATTGAGTCCCAGAAACCCTATGGAGGGTTGTTATGAGTCAGAAATGACTTGACTGCACTTAACAACCACAAAGTCCCAGAATCCCATATCTAGGGCCTGGAGAGAAAAATTTGGAAGATGCTTCTTGACAGTTAGTGAGCTTTGTCTTATATACACTGATCAAAGCATGAAAAGATGACCAGGGGGAGGGAGGGCAAAAAAAAAATGTAGTTATAAAATACACACATATACTACATACACACACACATACATACCATATGTACAAGCTCTGTGCCTAATGAACCATCTCAAATCAGTCTACCACTTTATAGGTAGCAAAACCAAGCATAACTTCAGAATGTATAAGAAAGAAAATAGGCTGGGTTTACATCTCTGTATAGTCCCAGAAAAGTCCTGGTGTGGTGCTGTAGTATAAGCACTGGACCACAAGGTCAGTTTGAACCACAAAGCCAGTGGTTCAAATCCACCAGTTGCTCCTCAGAAACTCTATACAGGGTTGCTATGAGTCAGAACTGACTTGACTGCACTTAATAACTACATAGGATCTAAGCAGACATTCTAGGCTTGTTAGCACCTCTTTGCCCTTTAAAGAGCATTTAGATCTTAGGCCAAAAAAGCACACCTGACATAGCAATCACAGCTCAATAGTGGATCCACTGACCATCACTGTGTCCCATAAAATATCAGGAGAGTCAGGTCCAGCTAGCAACTTCTCCACATAGCAATGGCTTGAGTCAGTTGTGTGTCAGTCTTTGAGGAGAAGTGATTTTCTAGGAAACTTTCTTCTCCAAATGATTTGGTTTTAAAAGAAAGTATGCTTTGTGGAGACACCAGTGATAAACAGCAAACTCCATCACCTTTTTCGTCAGACCCATAATAGCTAGCATATAAGGAAGCTAGCCTTTGGATACAATGCCCCTATTTGATAAAAGTCAAGAAGAATTTTGAATTTGATTTACATCATTTGCTTCACACTTTTCCAGGCATGTATCAACTGCAAATATTAAAGGATATCTATATCATCCTGTGGTTAATACTCATTTATTCTACTTTGCACTACGGATGCCCTATTGGATAAAGGATAAAAAAGATTATAGAATTCTGCCTCCATTTCTCTCTCTCTCTCTCTCTTGTTTCCCTTCCTAATAAATACTTTCCTTTTAAATTTTTCTTTAAGAGACTATATAAAGAGAGACTATAGAAACAAGGAAGGGAAACAGCCCCTGTGTTCTGTTGACCATATTTTCTGTTAAAGATCCTGCGTCTTTCCCAAAGGACCAATAATTTACCCACAAAGAAATGCCATGCTACCATGTGACACCTATTGGAATGTGCTGCCCCAACTCATTTCCTACTAACCATTGTTGTTGTTGTTGTTGTTGTTATGTGCCGTGGAGTGGGTTCCAACTCATAGCGACCCTGTTTCTGAGGCTGTAAATCTTTATGGGAACAGAAAGCATCATCTTTCTACCACAGAACAGCTGGTAGTTTCAAACTGCTGACCTTTAGCAGGATCTAAAACACCTCCTCCCCACCCTTTCTTCCTTCCTGCCCATTCCCTCCTGTTCTCCTGGCTCCCTTCTTTGGCCCACCTTTCTCTGACTCTTGGATTCTTTTCCCTCACATAAGAACAACTAAGACCAAGGAGACAAGAAAAGGCAACACCATTTTTTTTTTTTTCTGTAAGAACGACACAATCTGCCATAGTCCTGTCAAAAGCCACCAAGGCAGGTCTGGGGTGCATGTGCCAAGAATGATGGGGAATGTTTTTAAAGGCTATGCTCCAGGTTACCAATCAACCAATCAACCCAGTCGACACACTCTCTCTCTTGTTGTCCCTACAGGAAAACCATAAGGGTTAAAATAGTAGATGAGGAGGAATACGAAAGGCAAGAGAATTTCTTCATTGCCCTTGGTGAACCGAAATGGATGGAACGTGGAATATCAGGTGTGAGATTCTTGAACAAAAAATAATAAGAAAATTTTTTTTTTAACAAACAGAAACAACTATATATTTTTTCTGCCCCCTTTTCTTCCCTTCTCCTCCTATCTCCTTTTGACCAATGGACTTTTTTCTTCTTTTCCCTCCTATATTCTCGCTCTCACCCTGTTTCGGTATCATCTCTGCCTTCTTAGGTTTAGCTTATTTCCAGTCCTCCTTTCCCACCTTCTGGGCAGTGCTGCAGCCTCAATTCCTCATTACCCTAATGAGTTACTTCCTGTGTTTTTCTCCAATTATTCAATTATCACTGTCCCCTGTGGTCCCTCACAGGTACTATAACCTGTAAATATGAAAACTCTCCAATGGGTGGGGAGGAGAAGAAAAAGAAAGGAATGTGATATGATGCATGCCTGTGCACCTTCCCTGCCTTTGTCCCCTCCCAGCCCTTCAATCTCTAGCCTGGACTGAATTTGGGTGGGTCTTGTCTGGAGGTTGAAGCCTATGTTGCAGTGATGTTTTGACAGTTTTCTGCTGTGCTTCCCAACCTGCATTGAGTGCTTGGCAGGTTGTTTCCTTGCAGAGTGTCTCATAGGCCTCTCTACTCTTTGTATAGGTAAGTATATTATCTGGTTATTTCATAGTTGGGTAGACCATGGCATGAGAAGGTATACCAATTGTCAGAGCTGCCTTCTGACATATTCATGCAATCTGGAATCCTGAGCTGTCCTGACATTCCTTGGCATTTTGCCTCATCTCTTTGTTTCAACCCCAAGGTAGGATACGCTATTCAGGCTACTTTAATATAATAGAAACTCTAAAGCAGAAAATTGTCCTGGACTGCTAACCTCAAGGTCAGTGGTTCAAACCCACCAACTACTCTTTGGAAACCCTATTTAGGGTTGCTATGAGTCAGAACTGACTCGATGGCACTTAACAACAACAACAAAGTAAAAATTGAGAGATTGCAAATGGAAAGAAGTACTTTAAGGTATGGATAGCCCCTCCATCAGTGGTCTCTGGCAAAGGGCTGGTATTGGGCATACCCAGAGTTTTGATTTGTGGGTTTTCCAATAGGAAAGGGGACTCTAAGTGGCCTAGTTGGTGCTGTTCCCCAAAATACTTAAGTGTTAGACTACTTACTGAAGCCTGCCTGTACTTGGTGACCACAGGTGAGTATATTGCCTATATCCCAAGATAACACTCACCATACACCAGAGAAGTAGCCTCATCACCTCCTTTCCTCAGGACATGCATCTTGGAAGACCTGCCAGGGTTTTATCCCTGAAGACCAACTGTGTTGCAATCAGATAGAAGTAAGGAGGAATTTCTTCCACTCAAGAAAATGGTTGAAAGCCACTACTTGAGAAGCATGGAAACAGGTATCAGAATGGATAAGAGTGCTGGTAAATACCATCAGGAGGGTTCTCACACTCCCCATCAGGGGAAATAGGATACAGGGAGCCTCATGGAAACTGGAGCAGTTAAACCCACCTATTTGTCAACAAGGGATGATTATTCTGCAATTACTTTATGCTAACATAGAAGGAGCAACATAAAGTTATTTTTGAGAGTAGATCTAACAAATTCAGAAACTACACTTCCAAAGTCTCACCTACAGGAGTTTTGTTCTGTCTCAGATGATTGATCAGTTCTCATTTTCTTCTGGAGATTCCCTGAAGAGCTGACTGACTAGTTCTGTATCCTTACTGGTTTGGGCAAACTTGGTACTCAGAAGGCAAAAGCCCTCTTCATGTTCCACTGTTCATCTTCTCCATGGTCATATAATAAGACATATCATCAACCTGTCTGCCAAGAAGTGCTGGAAGAAAGAGAAAACCCATGGTTTCATTGCTTCTCAGATTGTATTTCTGTCACCAAAAACAGTCTTAAAATTTGTTTTAGCTGCTGCCCTCCCTCATTCTCACCTTATACTTTATGTTGTCATGATTAGTTGAATGCAACTGATACCCAAAGCCATAAAGTCTGTTTTGTCAATGTCCATAGGCCTAGATACTTATGTGCAAATAAAAGCAGCATAGAGAACAATATAGAGTATCTGGAAGGATAACAGTGGTTCCAGACCAAGAGGAAAGATTGGGAATCCATCTATGCCTTTGTTTCACCAATAAGAAAGTTCTTTTTTTCTGTTTCAACAAACCCTACCCACAGCAAGACAGAGAGTGGCTTAAGATAAGGCTGTGCTCTTCAAGATACCTGCCAGAAACTGCTCCCCACTTGAAGACATTTTTGTTTTTGAATTGGAGTATTTGTCAAAAGAGGTGTTATCAAAACCTTAGTGGAATCTAGGGTAAGCAGACCAGGACTTCAGCAAGCTATCTGTGTGATATAGTCTCATATCTGCTCAGTGACCAAGATGTCAGTTTTCTAGCCTCTTGTTCTATCATCTACGGTATTATTTTTCATTTTCATTAGTTCTTTCCATATTTTGGCATTAGACCATATTTTGGCACTAGAAAGGTCATAGAACATGATTGTCTAGACACAGAATCAAATGGAAACCCATTCTGGTTTCCAGATTCCCTGCTGTTCTCAGAGTGAGAGACTGTACAGTGGAAATTACTTTTATTGCTGCTACATGAGAAAGCATCAGGTTTTCAGAATGGCAGTCTCTGTACAGTCAAAATGACAATTGCATTTAGAAAAGAAAAACTACTGAATTTGAAATTGTGTTGTTGTTGTTAAGTGCTGTCAAGTTGGTTCCAACTCATAACGATCCAGTATAGGGTTTCTGAGGATCGACTGGTGAGTTTGAACCACTAACTTTATAGTTCAAACCAATCTTGCAGTCTTGTGGTTATCCTACAGCATCACACCAGAAGTCCTGGATTTGGAATAGGAGATTATAAATTTGGCCAACAAAACAAACTTCAAAGTTGAGTTTGGAAGTCCTAGACAATCTGGGAAAGGAAAAAAGAGGATGAAGTGCTAAAGAAAAGTGTCCTGGAATGGAGTGAACTATAGAGTCTAGAAGTAGATTTCTGTGAGCAACACAGAACTGTAGAGTTAGGGCTGTTGGAGCCTGGGCCTCAAATGGGAAAGGCAAACACTATCCCCCAGATGTCAGGCCTGTGTGTTGCTCTTATTTCCACATGCAGAGTTTCACCCTGACAAGCTGCCTAATACTTCCAATTGCTCACAGAACTCTGCTATTCACTACTTGTCCCTGGAGAGCCTGAGCAGGGATAAATGACTCCTGCCTGACCCTGACAATCAATACAGGGGAAGTTCAGCTCCAGCTTTCTCTGTAGAAACAGCAAAATAAAATACCTCTGAGGTATTGCATTACTAAAATTGGCCTACCTGGATCTTGTTGACTCATTTGTAACTATTGAGTGGAAAGTGTTGGATTGGTGGCAACAATGACCAAAGCATGATGCAGTTGCATCTGTCATAAGAATGAGCTGGGTGTTCTGAGTATGAAAACAGGGCATCGGAGACCACTGGGAAAGAACTTCCCTGTGTGGCCTAGCTAATTACAATGCTATGTTGGGATCTCTGGACTTTGGGAGCCAGGAGGACTCTTCCATGCAGAAGGAGCAGAATGAACAAGCCCTCTTGCTCACCATCTCTCTGTCTCAATGAAGTGAGGAGAGCTATTGATTGATTAACAAACAACCTTGGAAATTTAGATGGAAGATATCAGAAAAACTCTACTCCAAATCCTAGATCTGTATGTGTCTTTAGTGACTATGAATATGAGGTTGCGAATAACAGACCTGAGTTGCATTCCTACAGAGTCTTAGAAGAAATCATTCATGCACCCTGTCTTCTTCAGTAATCTCCATAGTTCACCATCTGCATCAGTAATATATGGTAGCACGCATGTTCCCAAACCTTTATTTGATAAGATCCAAAAAGTGAGAGGATGAATCAAACATCATCAAAGTGATAATGTGATGTGTCATAAGAAATTTTGATTTGGGGATCTTGAAGTCTAAAAGAGTTTATTGGAAATACAAATTCAGGGATTAGGAGAAAAATGGTACCACGCTGGGTGTTTCTTTAACTCAACTTCCCAGACCTGACAAATGATGGAAAAGACTCTTCTATAAATAGCTTTCAGTATGATAGTTTCTATGGTGCAGAATATCTGGACTCTGATTTATCCTGCCATTTCATGGAACAAAAAGATTACCATCCAGAAATGTAGCATCATCAGATCTATAGAAAAGGCAATTGCCAAAATAGGCAGCAAATACAAATCTTTACTGAAAACCTGCTAAGTGCAGGCATTTGGTTAAACACTGGTCAAACAAAATTGCATGAATTCAGGATCCCAGACTTGCTGAATGTATCTATAAAAAATATAAACCATTTGAGGAAATCTTTTGTGGGACTTAACCTTTTTTCTTTTTTTTTTTTTTAATGAGAAATAAGAATTCTGTTCAACATGGTAGCTTGGAAGCCAATTGTGGTCATGGGAAACCTATAGGCACTGAGCAGCTTACATGATATAACTATGAGTTTAGAAATAGAAGACATAGAACTGGGCACTGTTCCACTCTTGCTCACCACTACCAAGTGATCTGAGTTTCTGTTCAAGCCCCAGAGTCATATTCACTATAGATAAGCCAGCTACTCTAGCAGGGTTGCAATTTACATAGTTGTCATGGTAACTAGGTTTTTGCTCCTTCTTTACAGGATAAATATGTTAACCTGGTCCCCTGGTGGTGGTGGTTATGTGCCATTGAGTCAGTTCCAACTCATAGCAACCCTGTACAGGGTTTCTGAGGCTGTAAATCTTTATGGGAGCAGAAAGCCTCATCATTCTCTTGTGGAACAGCTGGTAGTTTTGAACTGCTGACCTTAAGGTTCGCAGCCTGATTTGTAATCACTATGCTACCAGAGCTCCTTAGAAGATCACAAATGCTCTACACTTGGTTCCCTGATCTTCAGTCCTTCATCCCAAGGCCTAGGGTTGCAAGGAGAAAGCTCTTATAATTACAGGGCCCTGGTGCATGGCAGCTTCTCCAGAAACTCATACCTTTAGCTGCTGCTGCTGCTGCTGCTGTTGCTGTGCATGCTCCAAATGCTGCCTTTTGCATGTGGCTGCAGAGCTCTCAACTACTAAGCTCACTGTTTTTCTTATGCTGCCAGCAGCCACAATACCTAGAGACACATTCAAGATGAAAACTTAATATTCTTTCCTTTTCTTTCTTCCTTTTGTCTGGTATCCATTTGCAAACAGCACTCCTGTTGTCTCCAGGTAAGAGGTAACTAGCCCCTTTTTTCCGTTTCTTGCCAGTGCCATTATTTGGTTTAAGACTGATGTTCTTTAGTTAATTTAATAGGAAATATGAAATAATTGTTAGCCTGACAAATTCTGCTGAAGTCTGAGTTTTGTTTCCCCACCTTTAACTAATTGAGAGGAAGGAGACAATCCTTTGAACACTATTTCTATCAATAGCTGTTAGAAACAAAACAAAAATTCTATCAATAGCTGGTCCTTTCTGGGACAAGAAACATAAATTAAACTTATCAAAGAGATGGTAGATCAGACTTTTCCTGTGTCTTAATTCATCCATCATCTCAGGATATGGAGACAAAAGATGACAGTCAGAACCAGAATTGTCTAATAGGATTGTGCTTGGATCTAGAAGAAAATACTCTGATCCCAAAGGATCAAACAGCTGCTGTGAGAACTTGAAAAGTAATTTTCTGAAGATCTTCCATCTTACCACTACTAAGAACTAAATTTCTAAAAACTTGGTTCATTCATCATTGACCCTTGAACCATATGTGCCATGAAGAACAAGAATTAGGATACATTGGTTGGTGGGACGATGTTCTGTCTGGAAATAGAACTTCTAAGTAATTTATTTCAAACAGATCTACATGCAGAATCTAGATCCTGTGTAAGACACACACCTATTTTGGAAATATACTTTCATGAAAGGAATGTAATCATAAACATCCAACTTTGTAAGCAGATAGTTTGGAAATCATTTCCAGCATATCCAGCAGAACTATAATTGAGTGGGTTGTCCAAGAATTTTCAATATATTTTTAAAGGATTTCTTGCGTTTAATCAGTTCTTTGAAAATAGAACAATGGTTAGGTCATTTAAGACGTCAAATAGCTTACAGAGTTCATTGGTATCCAAAGTCATTTACAGATGACATCTTGGATTCAGGGAGGGATAGTGTACATAGTAAGTAGTTTTGCCTCCTTGGATCCTTAATTTAAAAAATGAAGGTAACCCCTACATTCTCCTCTTTGAAAAATTAATTACTTCAGCTTCCTTGGCCGCTTGCTTCCCTCTTAAACCAACAGGGATAAGAGTTACTTGCAACCTCACATATTCCATGATTCCCACAGTGTCTTGATATCATAGAATCTCTCTCTTCACTTCAGTTATCCTCTTGTCTGAGAAAGTATTTAGGTTTCTTTGTTCCAACTCTTACCTCTGTTCTCCACTAGCCACACACGCAAGATTCTGATTTATGTAAGCTTCTTTATACTTGTAATATATGCACAAATAGTAATAGAAACTAAAATAGAAAAGAGAGCACATTTTTCTTGACCTTTCAATCTGTGAACCTCTAATTTAGGAATCCTTGATTAGGCTTCAAATTCATTAGACATTCAAATTCCTGTTCTAATTTTTCTGGTTGGAGAGGCAAAAATGATGAACAATGTTTAGTGTCAAGAGAATAAATATGTTTAATGTGAGCTACACTACCAAGCTTGGGAGCTTTGGAATGAGGACAATCGCTGCATCATCTGACTTCTCTCTGGGAATGCCTGTGGCATTCACAAAACCTATTCTAGTCTGGCCTGACAAACTCTTTCTTATAATATTTATTCAATCTCCCATCCTATTAGTTATCTTATATTCTGATTTCTCTCTCTTTCCCTCCATTTTCCTATATTTGAGAGTTTTCTTAGTGATTTTCCACATCAATCTGAAATCTAGGTAATGAGATAATCTGTCATTTATTCTCTTTACTTGAAATTCCGAAGTGTCAGATGAGCTAATGGTCCACGTCACTAATCTTTTAGGTTTGATATTTATCGTTCTCTCAACAAACTTAATTTTAGTTTAAAAGAATTATTACTACTAAATTGAAATGAGGTAGAAATTATTTCCAAACCAAGACACTAAATCAGAGTTGCTAAAGACATGTGAGTTAATTAATTAAAAATATATATATGGAATACCTCTGTGTGACTATGGGAGATCTAAAAATATAAGATTTTTTTGTCAGCGAGTTTTTCAGAAAGTTAGATGGAAAAACTGTCAGCACACAGGTGGACAGTTCAATAGGTAGATCAATATCCTGCCAGTAGGATATAGTGCTATATTAATAGTTAAACAGTGGGTTAGACAGATACATTTGTATGTCACAGGGGAGCTCATTATAGTGTTAAAAGGTTCTAGTGGTACATGTAAAGTATGATGTGAGGGGATTAGAGAGTAAGGAATTAAATAATACTGTCACTGTAAGGATAGACAGTGTGAGCTGATTGTCAAACCTGCATTGAAAGGACAAGTGTTTTTGTGCTTTTAAGGAATCTTTATGTTTTCCCCAAATGCTTTTTCTCAGAGTGGTTTATAGTCTGGCTTCTAGGATACCTGGTGCATCTAGGATACCTACGTGCTCCCAGACCTATCTTCAGAATTAACTAACCAGACACTCAGATTCCATGGATTAAATGAGTCAGGCTAATAAAAGATATCTTCTGACTTGGAAATATACAGAAGGGCAGAGATTCCTGAGAAAGAATGGATTAATTCTAATAGTGGTCTCCTGTAGAAAAGGGAGGACAGCACCACGGACAGCTCTCAAGAATTTTGGAATTGCCGTCTCTGATTGGTGTCAGAAACACTGAGTAAAACAGCCTGCTTGGGAATTCTCCACACCATCATTTACCAAGTTCATTCAGACCAGCTGAGAAGATCCTTACGTTACCTTATATAAGGTTCTCTGCTTGTTGACTTATACCATTGATTTATAATCTTTTCAATGAATTTTTTTCCTTGTCACCAATTCTTAAGATAGAGAAAAAAAAAAAAATATCTCATTGGTCTTTGACACATTTTATCTTTGTGATTATCCAAGGAATAGAGGATCCCCCTTGGAGATTCACTATGTGGAACAAAAACAATTAAGGAACTGAATAAAATAATTAATTGCATGTGAGAATATGGACTTGGAAGGAAATATGTTTAAACACACTCTGAAAGAAACAGGCTGCCAAGAGCAATTTTCTAATCAAAGGGAAATAAAAAAGATTCAATCTGTATTTCACACCAATCCAGAAAACATGTCTTCAAGGTGAAGTAGTCTTAAAATGGACTCACCAGCTGAAGTAGATAAATTCTGTAGTTGTTCAACATGAGAGAATACCACTGGTAAATGAATTAAAAGCTGAGGGACACAGGGAATATCTCAAAGGAAAGGAAAGAAAGAACTGTGTTCTGCTTTGCTTTTGAACAAATATTTGTGTTCCAAAGGAAATGAACCTGATTGCTATAGAAATTCTGTGGATCTTTCACTGGATAATCATGAAGGTTTTTGGGAGTCCTTCTGAGTTTCTCACTGTGAGGATAATGCTCACATGTATGAAATATAGATATTTCTGGTAAACATCCTCTTTCTTTCTCCTTCACAGATGGGATGGGATGGTGTCAACAAAGTTGGAAACAGATGTTAATGTGAATCAGTAGATTATTCTCTTTGGATTAAATGTGCTCCTCTACTTCCTACTATCAAACAACATATTGCATTAGGCAAATCTGCTGCACAAGACCTTTTTAAAGTGTTGAAGAGCAAAGATGTCAGCTGGAGGACTAAGGTGCGCCTGACCCAAGCCATGGTATTTTCAATAACCTCATATGCATGTGAAAGCTGAACAGTGAATAAGGAAGACTGTAGAAGAATTGATGCTTTTGAGTTATGGTGTTGGAGGAGAATATTGAAAGTGCCATGGGCCACCAAAAGAACCTGTAGATCCATTTTGGAAGAAGTGCAGCAGAGTGCTCCTTGGATGCCAAGATGGCCAAACTTTGTCACTCATACTTTCGACATATTGTCAGGAGGGACCAGTCACTGTAGAAAGATTTCATGATTGGTAAGGCAAAAGGTCAGAGAAAAAGAGGAAGACCCCCCCAATGAGATGGATTGGTCAAGTGGCAGCATCAATGGATTCAAGCATGGCAATAGTAGTGTGGTTGGCTCAGGATCAGACAGTGTTAAGTTCTCATAGCATAGGGTTGCTATGAGTTGGTACTGACTCAATGGCACCTAACAACAACAACAACAACTTCCGACTAAGAACTACTATATTAAGTAGCTGAATCGGCAGTCAAACTCAGTGGTTCAAAATAGTTAAAGGTCAAGGGATTTTACTTTTGTTCCTAACTTACCCAACATCACACCAAATGATAGGGTCTTCATTTTGTGTTATTTTATTGGAAGACCTTTGTGTTATGTTACCCACTGAAGTATTAAAACAGAAACAGGAATGCTTATCCCAAACCTACCAGAAAAGCTCTCAAGGCTTGATGATCATAAAGTTCTCAACAGTTCATGAGAAGAGGAACTTAAAAACTGCACATAGTTCTCATTCTTGCTACTTGGCACCCACTGCCCACCCCTAATACTCTGAACTATCATCTTCTGGGAAATGAAGAGTATGCTAAAGATAGTTTAATTTTGTTTTGTTGCAGAGGTTACAGACAGGAAACTGACTGTGGAGGAAGAGGAGGTCAAGAGAATAGCAGAAATGGGAAAGCCAATATTGGGTGAACACCCCAAACTAGAGGTCATCATTGAAGAGTCCTATGAGTTCAAGGTCAGGCCATCAGTGAGGTCTAATTGAAGAGTAGAGTAATGGGAGGGAAACACAGTACCTGGGACTTTATTCCATTTTCCCCACTGAGTGTCTGAAATTGAAATTGAACAAACTACTTACCTACCCTGGACCCCAGTTTCTCATTTTTAACATGAAATGAGTAGTGCTGGCTATTTGTACCTCCTAGGAATGTTGGAAGGAAAAAATACTGAATATGGAACCAATGGACTAGAAAGTCCATAGCTGTATCATCATTATTGTTAAAGTAAGCAAAAATACTAAAATCCACAACTACAGAGCAAGTTTTATTGGAATCATTATTGTAATTCTCTGTTATATTACTTCAAACAATCAAATGTCTAAAATTAAACCATAGAGAAGGAGAAAACATTGTTTCATAAATTAGTACCCAATACCATTCCATGTATAACTTTCAGAACCCATGTAGTAGGCCCCTGGGATGCAGAAATCTTTTATTCCCATGAAGCACAATGACTTCTAAATGACTTGAGCATTCTAATCTTATGATTCCAAGTTTTTCTCCCCTTGACAGAGTACGGTGGACAAATTGATCAAGAAAACAAATCTAGCCTTGGTTGTGGGAACTCATTCCTGGAAGGACCAGTTCATGCAGGCCATCACTGTCAGTGCAGGTAAGAATAGTCTCAAGATGGTTACAGACCTTGCTTGGAGACACAGGCATAACTTGAGAATGAAGAATACAGCCAACATTAATAGGAAAGTGTTATTTTGGGGAAGGCCTATATGTCCTGTTTTCCAGATCTAGGCCTAAATGTTTACCTCTTTCACTGGGTCACCTTGGGGAATAATCATGAAGTAGCTAAGCGTATGGATTTTAGAGTTGATGGCTATCTCTACTTTCAGATTTTGGTTCTTTGTGAGCTTGGAGAAGTTAGTTCACATATCTGAGCCTCAATGTCTTCATCTAAAAGGGGATTATTGCTACATTTCTCAGAAAGCTATTGTGGTAAGCAGAATCTTAGTGTCACTATACAAGAAATAACACAAATGGGTGGTTTTAAGGAACAGAAATTTATTGTCTCACAGTTCAAGAAGCTATAAATCTAAATTCAGAGCAACAGAACTAAGGTTTTCTTTGTGAACTATGGGGGAAGATACTTGTCTTAGCTTCTGTAACCCTGGAGCTCTTTGGTTCCTTTATGGTCTCCATGTGTCAGCCCCCATTTGCATTTGCTTCTCTTTTTGTCTAATCTGCTCTTCTTATCTCTCAAAAATCATTAGCTTTAAGACATACCCAAGTTTTCAGAAGCTAGGCAAAGCATTGTGGTGCCTGGCCCTCAAACGTGCCATGTGCCTTTGCTCTCAGGTCAAGAATCACTGCGCAAACAGGAATTGTTACCTTTTTTGCCCATCATGTAAATCAAATGTCTAGGGACAATAGTCTCGCTCATATGATCCAAGAGTAAATAGACAAAGGCTCACAAAACAGACTAAATGCTTTAGAGAAAGGAAGACCGCTTAAAGGAAATAAGACCCAATATATCCAGACTACACTCCCAGCTAAGGTTACTCAAGGTATAAGTAGATTTGTGTTATCTTTCAGTAACCCAGAAATTGATTGGAACTTAATCCAACAGCATTTTAGAAGGTTGTGGAAGAATATACACTTGTCTGTGAATATTTATCAGCTACATGCTCAAATTTAGGATATAAGTAATTCTCAAAGTGAACACTGAGTGGCTACTAATTTGCTACCCCTGCTAGAGAGTAAGATCCCCTAAGAACTTGATTGAACCTCAGCATAGTGATCCTGCTTGGTCACCTTAGAGCAGGAGGTGGGCCGGCAACGTCTGGCGTATGAGGTCCCCAGCTGATCTCCTCCCTCCCTGCCTTCCTCGGATGGCGGCTGTTTATGCTGGACGTGTGGCCAGAGATGGGTAAGGATCACGTCGAACATCGGCTACTTAAGACAGAGCCATTGCCATGCTGTAATGAGTCTCAGTGACTGGTAAGACTGAGGAATTCGCACTGACCACCTAAGACAGGCAGCGTCCCTTAAACAATCAATAAATAAGGAGGATTCAGATGCAGACAGTGAAGACCCGGTCAGGAGGCCAAGCCCCTGTGGGCCCAAGCGTTGTTGACCGTCCAAACCATAGGCTCTGAGGATCAGACTCTAGCCAACTAGTAGACATAGCAAACTGTCCCTCATCTGATTATTCAGTAATGCTTGTTAGTAATCTCATACATGAGCCCTGGATATCCACAGACAAATGTAAAAACCTTCCCTAAAAGCCGAGACTGTAAATTCCAAAAAGGCAAGTCCCCCCCATCCAAAAAAAAATAAATAAATAAATAAAAAGACATACCCAGCATTGAGATGGCTTCATTAACATAACAAAGGAGCCTCTATTCCCAAATGGGATTACTTCCACAGGTATAGAATGGTTGTTTGGTTTTTGTTTTGTTGTTTGGTTTTTTGGGGGAAAGGGTGGCAAAATTCAATTCATAACAGGTACCAAACAAATACTCAATAAATTCTTGTTTCTATCATTCCTTTCTCTCATTAATTCAGCCCCCCTTTTCTGTAAAATGGGGAACAATCCTGATTTATACCTGTAGGGATCATGAGTTTGTGAAATGCTTGGCATTGACTGAGAAACCCCTTTCCTGGGTGATTCCAAATCTCTCCTTCGGTATGTTATAGAAATGGGGTCTCCCCACCATCAGTAAGTATTACCTTCCCACACTACCAATCCACCTTGTCCTGCCTCAGCAAAGGGCCAATAGGGAGTATTACTGGTCATGTCTATTTTATGAGATTTTTGTTGTCATAGCAACCCATAGAGTCATATCCCTGAGGCCATAGAGCCAGAGTAAAAGTGCAGACAAAAAGAGAGATTTGCTACTGCTGTTCTTGATGTTGTCCCACTTTTTTCACATTGCCTGCTTTGGATCCCACTGGCTTTTCTCTCTAGTGACCTTACTTTGTTCCTAAAGATACAATAAATGGAAGGCAGGCAACATAATTTACTTTCGTATTTTACAAATGAGGGAACTGAAGTTCAGAAATAAGAGGGTACAGATTTTCTTTATAGCAAAACTGAAATTACAACTTATATGTCCTGAGTCCTGCTCTTCAGAAGTTCAGCTTCTACTGCTGTTGCCCAAATATTACAGAAGTTTTCCTTGACAAGGAGCCAAAAGGCCTCAGTATATCCTCTCTCCCTAGACTGCTGACCAGGCATCTCTGCTCAAATTTCCTGACAAGGACTAACAGGGCCCATTTCTGTTCTGCCCCATGGATATATTTGGAGAATGGCCCTGGACTCCTTGTGTGTCTGCAAGATCTGAATGACAGCCATCCCTCTAGGGATAGATAATAGCCATAACCAAGGTAGATACTGCAGCAGAAGAGAGCTGATGGTGCTCAGTAAAGAGCAGGCATACAGAGCTTGTTTGTGCTTTTTTTCACCTAGGCAACTAGATACAGCCTGCCTCAGCTTCCATTCTTCACCACTACCTGTCCCTCTAAAGTATCGCACCCTATTTCTTTCAAATTTTATTGAGATAAAAAGTATACATAGCATATAAATTTTTATTTTTATCATTTTTTAATGTACAATTCAGTAATATTAATTACATTCATCATATTGTACAACCATCACACCTATCTATTTTCAAAACTTTTATATCACCCCAAAAAGAAAAGCAATATCCCTTAAGCACTAGCTTCCCATTCTCTCTCCCTCTAATATCACTAATAAATTTTGTCTGTCTGCATTTGTCTATCCTATTGTTGTTGCTGTTGAGTGCATCGAGTCAGTTCCAATTCATAGCGATCCTGTTTCCAAGGAGCAGCTGGTGAGTTAGAACCACTGACCTTGTGGTTCAAACCAACCTACAGCGCCATACCAGGACTCCTAGATATTTCTCAAAAAAGCTGTGGTGGCTCAGCTGCTAACTGAAAGCTTGGCAGTTCAAACCAACCAGCTGCTCTGAAGGAGAAAGATGTTGCAGTCAGTGTCTGTAAAGATTGCAACTTTGGAAACCCTATGAGGCACTTCTATTCTGTCCTATAGAATACAATTTGAGATTTAGTCAACAAAATGGTTTTTTTTTAATGGGTTAAAATGTTTCATAAAGTAGGATGATACAATATTTGTCCTCTTGTGTCTGACTTATTTTACTTATTATAATGGTTTCAACATTCATTCATATTGTAGTATGTATAAGAACTTCCATTCTCTTAATAGTTGAATACTAATCAATGAATGTAAATATCCCCCCTGCCTTTTTTTTTAATCCATTCATCTGCTGATAGACACTTGGGTGGTTTTCACCTTTTATCTATAATGAATAATGTTGGAATGGACATTGGTGTACAAGTATTGTAGTCCCTGCTTTTAAGGTTTTTTATTATATACTTAGGAATAAAATTGGCGGATTATCTGGTAATTCTCTCCATATGTCTGTCAGCTTGTTGTACTTTGGTGACATGTGTGTTCTTGTGATGCTGGAATGTGTGTCACTGATATTTAAAATACCAGCAGGGTCACCTATGGTGGACAGTTTCCATGGAGCTTCCAAACTAAGAACAAATTAGGAAGAAGTAATAGTGATCCACTTCAAAGCTAATAGTGATTAGCTACTGAAAACTTTATAAATAACAATGAAATACTGTGTGACACAGTGCCAGAAAATGTACTGCTCCTGTTGGAAGACATTCAAAATATGACTGAGGAAGAGCTGCTTCTTCAAAGTATGCAATGTCATTCAACTATGTGAATAGTGACTAACTATGGTGAACATTATGAAGAACATTGTGGATAATAACATACTATGGTTAACATTGTGAAGAACAGAAATACCAGAACACTTAATTGTGCTCCTGTGGAACACATACATGGGCCAAGAGGTAGTTATTCAAACAGAGCCATGGGATAAGGAATGGTTTAAAGTCATAAAAATTGTATGTCAGGGTTATATCCTTTCACTATACTTATTCAGTCTGTATGCTGAGCAAATTATCCAAGAAACTAGACTAGATGAAGAAAGCGGCATCAAGATTGTAGGAAGGCTCATTAAAGCTTGTGATATTCAGGTCATGCAACTTTGTTTGTTGAAAGTGAAGAGGACCTTAAATACTTACTGATGAAGATCCAAGAATACAGCCTTCAGTATGGGTTACAACTCAATATAAAAAACAAAAACAAAACAAAAAACTCTTCTCAAATAGGCCAATAAACAACATGATGATAAACAGAATAGATGAGTAGATTGAAGTTATTCAAGATTTCATTTTGCTCGGATCAACCTTCAACACTCATGGAAGCAGCAGTCAAGAAATCAAAGGACATATTTCATTGGGCAAATCTGCTGCACAAAACTGCTTTAAAGTGTTAAAGAGCAAAGATATCACTTTGAGGACTAAGGTGTACCTGATCCAAGCCATGGCATTTTCAGTTGCCTCATCTGCATGTGAAAGCTGGACAACAAATTAGGAAGACCATAGAAGAATTGGTGCATTTGAATTCTGGTGTTGGTGAAGAATATTGAAAGTATCATGGATAGCCAGAATAACAAATAAGTCTGTCTTGAGGAAGTACAGCTAGAATGCTCATTAGAAGCGAGGATGGGAAGGTCCATCTTTCATACTTTGGATATGTTA